GGGAGGGAGGCCACCCCCCCCCCCCCAGGACACCTTAATTTTTAGTCCAGCAAAACTGAGGCCGGACTGTTTCAATTATGAGATGATAAATTGTTGGGCTTATAAGCTGTGAGGTTTGATGCTCCTTGTAGCAGCCCATAGGAGGGCTCTTCAGCACTGCATAGAATCCACAGCCGTGTGGTACACAACAGTCTTACTTACCAATCTCAGGGAATACAAATGAACTCTAGCTTTTTGTCACAAACAGGAGGTGTTCCGTGACTACCCAAACTAAGCCCCAGGAAATACCTGAGTACAACAAATGGATGATTTCTTAACGACATTTCTCCCTCCCCGTCCATGAAAAGTCTAATTGCAGATTCGTTTTCCTCCTGGTCTACGTCCTGACCAGTCGTTACTGTTTGTAAATGACCATAAATTCACCCCTGCGGCCCCCCCCCCCCCCGAAATGGCTTGAATTGCCGACTCTTGAAGGGACGAGGATTCAGCTAGGAAGCTACAGTCAAGGCATGCTATTAAAGCTACAGGTGTCACATTAAAATTTAGACCCTGAGTTTATGGTGCACCTGGGCCACAGCTGGTTCTGCCTCCCAGCTTCCTCCCAGCTGTTTACCCGAGCTTAACACTGAGATGCAACAGCCAGAGACCGCTTTGAGACGGTAAATGAATGTTTTCCTAAATGGTGCAGACCGGCTAGGACAAAGCCAAGTGCGTCCCCACAAGGGGCTTCGTGGGACAGTGACAGGGCCTTCTAAGGGGGAGGGAACAAAAGATTGAAAAGATAGAATGTGGAGCTGGGTGAGATCTCACACTGAATTCCAATTCACCCCGAATAATAGGAAATGGGGATTAGCCTAAGAATGGGACGGAATTCGTGAGCTGTCAGCTTGCAAAGCAGCCTCTGGTATGAAAATGGTTTGAAATTCTGTAATCTCTTTGATGATCCGAAATCACTTCAGGGTGCCTGTGGTATTTGCAATCGTGAATATTGACCATCAGGGTATGGGTGGGGTGTGTCGAACGGGATGAGGACGTGGGAGTCTTCCACTGGCAGGATTATACAGACGTGTCTGAAGGCATGTGTGTTCCTACAGCTCAGATTTGAACACTTACAAAGGCCTAGGGATGGCTAGGGGCACTTTTGCAGCGAGGAGCTCGCCTCCATCGGGTTCAGTATACTTTCATGACTTACCAGGCTCTGTGTGCCCTTCTCCCTGTCATGGTGGGGGACCCCTCCCTGTCATGGTGGGAGACCCCTCCCCCTCAAGGGTCCAGGTGTCTGCTGTCACCTTCCACATGTCCCTGCCTTTCCCCACTTCCTCTTCCAGACCATAATCCAAAGCTCGGGGACAATGTCTTTCCTGAGCACACCAGCTTACGA